TTATTGAACTTGCTACATAACCCTGGATGACAATGTAGGTGTTATCTTACGACTTAAAGTACTTAGACATAGCAAACTTTTCATTCCAATAATGTTCTAAATCAATATGAAACTTAATTTTGTAGTTGTATAAAATTTAAATATTTATTTATTTATATTTATATTTATATATACTTTATTGCACACATACACCAAGTAGCAATACATTGGATACAATGACCGAATGTTGTTGTTACAATGGGCGGTCTTATCACACAAGGTGATTTCTTCCAGACAACCTTTAGATGGAATGTATAAGAAATTTGGCCATGGGTAGTGTAGTGTACGGTTGAAATAAGTACTACATAAAGAAGATATATTATAAAAATAAAGAAATGTGTAAATATAGTTATATCATATATACATATAATATATATATAGTGTGTGTGTGTGTGTGTGTGTGTGTGTGTGTGTGTGTGTGTGTGTGTGTGTGTGTGTGTGTGTGTGTGTGTGTGTGTGTGTGTGTGTGTGTGTGTGTGTGTGTGTGTGTGTGTGTGTGTGTGTGTGTGTGTGTGTGTGTGTGTGTGTGTGTGTGTGTGTGTGTGTGTGTGTGTGTGAAACAGAAGTCTATAGCGCTAGATAATACTCCTTCACAAGTCTTTTAAACTGAGACAGTGACCGAGCACGACGCACTTCCACAGGTAAAGCGTTCCACATTCGTGCAGCCTGTATCGTAAATGACCTGTCGTAAAAAGAGGTGGTGTGCTTACAGATACTGAGCTTAAGATTTTCTGATGATCTCAGGAACTTAGAATGTGTGTCACCAAGGAACTGAAAACGTTCTTTTAGATAAAAAGGGGTTGCAGGATTGAAGAGTACGTTATACAGTAGAGAAAGAATATGAGCGTTCCGGCGAAGGCGAATTGGTAGCCATTTGAGCTTAATACGAAATTCAGAAATATGATCATACTTGCGCAAACCAAATATAAATCTGAGACATAAGTTTTGAAGTCGCTCAAGCTTATCCAATTGTTCTTGGGTGAGATCTAGATAGCTGGCATCAGCATAGTCGATTATTGGTAGAAGAAGAGACTGAGCAAGTGCAATTTTGGTGTGAGTGGGTAAGAAATTTCGAAATCGCCTTAAGGCACCTGCCGAAGCAAACAGTTTTCGACTGACCACTTGCAACTGTTTATTCCAGGAAAGGCTACTGTCGATATAAATCCCCAGGTTCTTAACGTCACGGGAGAAAGGAATAACGGTGTTAAGAAAAGAAACCTGAGGAAGATTCCCCTGAGAAATATTGTCGTAATGTCAAAATTGTATATCAATTATAGTCAATTTAAAAAATCATTTAACAAGTTTTATACTACAAATATAAATTCAATTAAGATAATAACTATAGTTGTGTCAAAGTTAAAATGTTACAAATATTTATTTCAAACAATATTCAGCAATATTTAAATCTTAATTGTAATTTAAATGAACTATTTCATGTTTGTGTGACTTAGACTGTGTAATTCATTTTTGTATATTGTCTTATAATTTTAAAAGTCTACGTGTTACTTTAGACTATAATCTATATCTGTGTAAAATTTTATTCAGATCCGTTCAGTAGTTTTCAAGTAAAAAACTAACAAACATCCATCTATGCTTACAAACTTTCGCGCATATAATATTATGTTACTAGGCTAATCTCAATACAAGATTGTTCTGTACCGATAATAAAACAGGTTGCTGAAAAAATTTGCATGCAGTAAAAAGTGCGCCAACGAACAAACAGAAGCCATTTAAAGACAAAAGAAGGATTTTATAGGTAATTTACCGACTTTTTTCCGTTTGAGTTATATGGTCTTTGTTTTATTCGACAAATTTACGATTTATGTGCTAATTTTATTACTTTTTTTCTCTCCGTATATCAAAGCCAAATAAAAAGTTGTTTACGGTTATTTATTTTGTTGTAATATGCAGGTACTTAGGAGTTACGCTGGCGTATTTGAATTTAACTAAGGAGGAATGAATGCGTACAGGTGGAATGTAATTGCTTTTCTTTCGAACACTAAGGCTGTTTAAACGAGAAAATGCCAGTTAGGCAATGACGTATTATATATAGACACGTCATGAACCAACATCGCGGCGCTTAAAAACGGCGAAAATACTAGATAACTACTTCTACGAGTAAAGAAAGGGAAGAAAATATGACTTCGTATAGTGGAATGCCTTTGCTAGAGTGAGATAAATATACATCTTCAGTTATGCCGACGGCACGTGACTATACCTTCATGCGCCGGCCGCCATAAGATGGCGGGCGCCGGCGTCGAAATAAATAAAATAAAAATAGGTTGTTTGGTGAACTTACGCATGAAATGACACATTTTTGTATTTAACTTTTAGAGTATAATTTGTACATCCTCTGAACACACACGACGGCATGCTTTCTTTAGTTTCGCACAGGTTTACACACACGATATAAATTATAACAAACGTAGCGTCGCGCGGGAGGTTGGTGCGTGACTAAGCGCGATGTTGTCAAATTGCCTTCATTTCATGTTGCCATTTTAGAGCGCGGACAACGTATCTATAGATTTATACATCATTGCAGTTAGGTACATAATTATACAATTTCATAATTCTAAGAAGAACAAAAGAATGTCGCGTTTTTCTAATAAAAGTCCCGTTGTGACTTGAAGCTAGTCAGTTAAATTACGTAAGTCATCATCATCATCAGCCTATAAGTGCCCACTGCTGAGCAAAGGCCTCTTCTCACACGGAAAAGGTTTGAACATTAATCACCACGCTAGCTCGATGCGTGTTGGCGATTTCAAACTTATAATTAGAAATTATAAGATAAGGTTTCCTCACGATGTTTACCTTCATGGCATGTCAGTGGTGTCTAAGTAGTCATAGAAAGTACATATAACTCGGAAAAAGTCACAATACATTGGTACTTGACAGGTTTCGACATGCATAAGAAGCGGGCTCCCTAACCTTCACGCCACCACGACATTTTTACGTAAGTCATAATTTTCAATAAATTGAGTATGTCTCACGATAGTTTCTATTAAAAAAAAGCAATTCATTATTTCTTATTTAGAACAACAGAACGAACGAGCCACAACATCAACAGCCAAAAGTAGTAAGCCTGTCTGACGTTAGCTTATCATTTCTTAATCACCACTGCTAGTAGCGCATAAGTTTGGCTTCCTATAGCCACTTCGATATAATATACCGGTAGACATTTAGCCTAATAGCAACTAGTTTTCCACTTTAACAGAAACTTTGCAACGGTACCACGAACTCGTGGACACGCGGCGACTGTTGGAAATGTAAAGGTATGTGTACAATAGTGATGTGGTTATTTGAAAGAAAATTGTGTGTTTTTTGTTGATAGGTGTGATGTACATAGTTACATAACATGGAGTAGGTTTTTGTTTATCAGTCAATCATTTTGCTAATACATATTATGCTAATATTTTTATTTGTCACTTGCTACTCTCGCGTGGTTTCACCCGCTGCTTGGTTCCATTTAATCGTAGCGTGATATTTTACACAGGAACATTGTAATAATATAATAATAAATAAAATTTATTGAAGAACACATTGTAGCTATCTATCAGTGAAAGTATTTTGGCAATTCGACAAGCGGTTCCAAAAATTACCCTACATACAAACTTACAAATTTTACCTGTTTATAATATTAGTATACATATAGATGATCGTGTTTTGGCATATAGTCTCTAGGGTTTGACGTTTCGACCTGGTTGCACAGGTCGTGGTCGTAAGAAGACTCAGTCTGCCTGCGAAACGCTAAACCTACCAAGGTTTTAAAATAATTATTTTTCGCGTTAATACCCGCCTAATTATACGTCGAAAACATAAAACGCGAAAGTTTAAAAGTGTATTTATATAAATATGTACGTCAACCATCGACTATAATACTCGACAACATAAAACATACAAATTAAATACAACAAATAATCAAATTTATCTGATTGGGAACCACATTTATTCTTTTTTTTGGTTTTCAGTAAAATAAAATACATGTATCACCAGAATCTGACTGAGAAACCCTTCTCTCCTTATGGCAAGTCTGTTAAAAACGAAGCACCACTACCTTGGCTCTGCCGTATTGAGAACAGCATTCGAATTTCAAATAAACACACTGATTTATCTTCGCCAAAAATTTCTCTACCGCAGGGCCAACGTGAGCAAGGCCTAACCAGCTACTCAGTTACGTTTTACACCTACCAAGAAGGTCGACCATTTGTATGTTAATTTTTGAAGAAAAAACTTTCACCCTATTGGCATTGTGATACCAAGCTTTAAAAGTCACTAATGAGTTCCTTGATTCTAGTTCTAAGTCGGGCCAAAGTGTAATTAAGTTTTCTGTTAAATAATTCAGTACCTTCGTTTGTTAAGCGTAAGTCCGGCTTAAGTGACGTCGTTAGCTGTTTTTAGAATGCTTTTGATTTAATCTGTTTGATTTTTAAGGGGACATGACTGCTGAGTGTTAAACTTTGAAGTTGAGTAAATTGTTGAAATGGGCGTTTATATAATCGAACAAAAAGATGATACTGAAATTTTCTACTTGAAGATAAGAAATGTCGTATTTCCAAATTTTACTATTGTATGTGCACTACGTAAATACTTATATATATATCTAGCAAACGCACATGCTCTTTCCAAGTTTTTCAAGGACAGAACTAAACTGTAAATCAGTGTAAATATGATTATATAATTTTATTATAATGTGTTAGAGTAAATTATAGAATAAATACTTATACTTTTATGACTATTTATCACAAAAATGTTTTACTGTGCCTTAACACAGTGTCGCGTATGTACCTACTTTTAAAATTTTTATAACATAACATAACATAAGCTGTCAAATTAGCTGTAATTACTGTTTTCTGTCAAACCCTGTAAAAAAATCTAGGGCAAAAAAAGAACCCGTGTGGAATTTTATGTTAATAGTAGGTGCCTATCCCATCTAGAAAAAGATTTATATGATTTGAGGTTACCTTGCACCTGCAGTCTTCAGCGGCAATGTAGTGAAAGATGTCTGTCCCAGCAATAACTCCAGGATCGCAGTGACGGAGACGCACCATCAATGGACGGCGACCGCCATAAACGCAGACTGGATGATGAGACTTCTTGAAGGGAAACGCCCAGTCTGAAATCTGAAGGAACGTTCATTGAATTTTTTTTATGTAATAATTCGGCAAACGAGCAGACGGACTTGATGGTAAGTAATCAGCGCCGCCCATGGACACCCGCAACGGAGGAGTTACGAGTGCATTGCTGACCTTTTAGGGATTAGAGATTTGGAGATTTAGGAATACACATATTTTCGCCCAAGAGTTATTTAAGGAGTACATAGTAAATATATAATTTAAAAAAATATATCAACATTTAAAAAAAAGGTCATTTCAAATGCCATATTATGTATACCTATACATATATATAACGGCGTATAAGTGAAGTTTACTCAAGTAGTGAAGAATTTGTTTATTTATGTTTTAGTTTTACATATTGCATTGTATTTTTCATATTGCGTATGGTAACAATTAAGAGCGGGTAACACCGAATGGGTTTGTGTCAGTTGTCTTACGGGCAAGTGATGAGGAATTAGACAGGGTTGTTGATGGGTTGCCCGTAGAAACCAACGCAACTCCATTTGCTCTTGCAATTTGAAAATAATATTATTTGGCTTCTTACTTAACGTTATTTATACACGGATGTCCAATTATATCGGTTCACTTAATTATTTACCAAATTTCTATTGCGATATCTACCATGAATACCAGCGAACTACCTGGAGAACAAGGAAATACAGCCCGGCCTCCCGATTCTCCGACATATATGTATATACATAGTAATTATTTTACCATACACTGAATTCAATCTCATAAAACTTATTGATATTGAAAGTTTCGTCGAAATCGGAATTCCTCAAAAAAACTGATATTGTATTAAGTCCGCGGTAGTAGCGTTTGCAGTTCTAAAAAATAAGTCATACCTTTTTACTGTAAAAAATATTTAATATATTTTGTCCTTTTTTATGCATATGTTTTAATATTGATCTTTGAAACTATGCGATGTAATTGCAATTTTATTACAATAAAATTAAAGTATAAAACAAAATAAATCTATTGTGCAGATTCATTTACTTTGTGAATAGTATTGTTTTTTAATTAAGCTCAATGAAGTGTTCACACGGGATATTGATAGGGTTTTAATTATTTTACATTCAATTAATTCGTCTGCAATGAAATTTACATGTGATTATTATTCATGGTAATTAACATAGGTTATTTTATTATAATTTGTGGAGAATTAAAGCGCAGGGACATATGGACTTTGGGCATGAATTTCACTCTGGTGTTTTATTTAAAAACTGTTTTAAAGAATGATTTTTTTTTATTTTTTACGTTACAACCTCTAAAATATAATTCGACACTAAAGACTGCATGCACGAAAATGATGACGTCACTGTCCTGTTACGCATCACGTCGCGTTCCGCAAGCGAGAGCGCGGCATAAACAAAAGAGAGACATGATTGGTTTTATATAATGTTTTTAAGGCCTATTATCGTACTCAGAAACATTTAATGAGTACTTTGATTAACCTTTTGTAACGTTTCAGTTTTGAAAACAATCTTTAAAGACTGGGTTGGGTAACAGGAGAGCTATGGAAGTCATGTCACACTTATTGAGTAGACAAACTTAAAGAGTGTGTACAGACAGATAGCTTTAACGTTTTTGAGGGATCGCAATACACAAAATAACTATTGCTAGCTACGAAGTTTTACTGTGATGACAACCCGTCTTTTATAATTTTCTGTATTTATTGTTAAAAGAACTTCAATTTTTTTTTCTATTTTCTATAAATAACCGACTATTGGCACATTGATTGCTGAATCCATGTCGAACGTATAAATCAAGTTATTTACTTGCTTTAGCGTTAGCTCGCACGAGATTCTCGTCATATGGAATTGTTATGTTAATATTATTATGGAATCAGACTTAATAATATATCTTTATCGTAATTAATTCGTATCTTCTTTATGTAATACTTGTTTTAACTGTACTCTACACTGCCCATAGCCAAGTTTTTTTTATACATTTCCATCTAAAGATTGTCTGGAAGGTATCGCTTTGTGTGATAAGACCGCCCATTGTAATCACAACATTCGTTCATAGTATCCAATGTATTGCTACTTGGTGTTTGTGTGCAATAAAGTATATATAAATAAATATATAAATAATGCCATTGAACACCGAACTCTAATAAAGACAATTTTAAGGTTCTATTTTTTCCCCGAAATTAATTTATTTCAATACTCAGCGGACCATTTGAGTGTAGGAAACAGACTAACAACAGATATTTATCATTGGTTTACTTGGCAAGGTGTACAAAGATTTTAAGCCAAAAAATTTTGGCATTGCTTTATCCTACTTGTGCGTACATTGCTATAAAACCATAACCGTTTTATTTATTTATTTAAAAAGGTACAATTAAACACGAAATACAATTTTCTATTAATTTATTTTGTTTAATTTAATAATATCACAAAATTAAATTGGACTCTTAAAACTTTTATACTAGTTACCCAACGGTACGTGTGTTTAAAAAAAAACATTTATTTCGCATTTTTTAACACATTGTTTTTGGAAACGTTACATGGAAGGTATACGACCACGGAGGTCGATACTTATGAAGCCATGAAAATATACTTAGGGAAGGAAAACTTAACAATTCAAAAGGTTATTTACTGGAAATCATATTATTCTGTCATATGAAAGGCCGGCAAAGGTACTGTTTATATTTATTTGTTATGACCGTGGTTATGACTCTGGCACTTACGCAATTTGGACACACCTACAGTTAAAAAAAATGATTTTTTGTTTCAATATTCATATGAGCTAACGTGTGGTAGATATATGATGATGATGATGATGATATTACAAATTATCTTAACATTAGTTACATGAAATATATATATAATAATGAATGTATGTTACATTTAGTTAGGACGAACAAAACAAAGCCTAAACCAAAATTGGGGTACTCAAGTTAAAATATTTATATTGGAGGATTTTTATTTCAAAGAACCAACAACCAACCAACACTCCTTCACGTAGGTACTATATGTATATGCTATAACTTAGTAAACCCAACGAAAGCATACGAAAATTTTATTATTTGAGCGTTTCTCAGAATAACCAAGCATATTAAACGTTCCGTAAGTTATGTGGGGCAAAATATACATCATATTATGGAACTATGATAAAATGATATCGTATTATCAGATAATAAGATAAGAGAAATGGAATTTAAAGCCACATAATAATTATGTTACTTTTTAATTTTAATACACTTTTCCAATCAATTATTGGAATGTTAACAATATTAATAGCAAATAAATACTTGGGTATGTCAGAAGCGTTGGGCATCGATACTGCCGTCATGAAGCAAACGTTGCGGGAACGTTTCTTTGGCCGCCTGAGGAAAGTTCTAAGCAGTCTTTTATCGGGCGGTAACAAGGTACGTGCCTACAACGGTTGGGTCATGCCAGTACTGATGTACTCCTGTGTGTGTTACTCATGTGTTTGGCATACTCAAGTGGACTCAAACGGAATAAGATACCCTGGATAGAAAAGTCCGTTCATTGCTGACTGAGCATCGGATGCATCACCCACGATCATCGGTAATGAGACTGTACATTCCACGGAAATGTGGAGGAAGAGGCTTTTTAAATGCCAAAGCTCTCCACAACAGTGAAGTGTGCAGTCTCCGAAACTACTTCTTAAAAATGGAAGTGGGGATGCACCAAGATGTTGTCGCTGTGGACAAAGGACTTACTGCGCTCTCCTTAGCTAACGAGAATTGGAGAAAACCTGTAGTACTAAGCACTAAGGACCGTAAGGATGTATGGCAAAGCAAAGAGCTGCACGGACGCTACTATAGGGCTTTACATGGGCCAGAAGTAGACTTCTTAGCGTCCGTATCCTGGCTACGTTTCTGCAACTTATTTGGTGAAACAGAAGGTTTTGTCTGTGCAATTATGGACGAAGTGGTACGGTTGACATTTGTCGGGCATGTCATCGCCCAGGGGAATCCATCCGACATATAATTTCGGGTTGTTCTCACCTAGCTAATGGAGAGTACTTGCATAGACACAACCTCGTGGCCAGGATTATCCACCAGCAACTTGCTTTAAAATACAAACTTGTTGAATCTGAAGTGCCGTACTATAAGTATCTGCCTGACCCAGTTCTCGACAATGGAGATGTCACACTGTATTGGGATCGAACTATCATCACTGATAGGACAATTGTATCCAACAAACCTGACATAGTGATGATAGATCGATCTAGCCGTCGCACAATGATAACTGATATAACAATCCCACATGACGAGAATCTTGTGAAAGCTGAAAAAGATAAAGCAAGTAAATATCTTGATTTAGCTCATGAGATTGTCGACATGTGGGATGTAGACTCAGCAATCATTGTGCCGATAGTCGTGTCTGCCAATGGTCTCATGCAACACCTAAGCAGGCTTACGTTAGATAGTTGGGTCAAGAATCTGATGCAGAAAGCTGTACTTCTAGACACGGCGCGCATTGTCCGGAGATTCCTTTCTCTGGAACCCTGACCACCGGTTGCTTGGAACCCTCCCGCAACCGGTGGGATACTGCTTTTTATATTTTTAAATGTTTTTTTTTTTTGTTTTATGAAAATATTTAAAAATGTAAAAATCAAGTTTTGAATTAATAAATGAAATGAAAATTAATAGCAATATATAATAAAGACAAATTTAAGTTAGTATGAGCTGAACTTGCAGTCCTTTCACATAAAAAACAGATAAAATTTATTTTAATTAGTTTGTATATATTTTATTTACAATGCTTTTAATTAGTTAGTGTGAAATGTAAACCCTTCTCTTAAATTGTGTATAATGTTGCCTTTACCTCAAATAAACAAAATTTTCATGTAAAATCGTTATATGCGATTATGTGGTTATCTGGCGATCCGCACTTAAATGTAAAGTCTGTTATTTATTATCGAAAATGAGTATCTTTCGGAGGAATATTTTATTAATTACCTTTATAAATACTTATCAAGTCTGGTTTCCGATTGAGAATTTAATGAGTACAATTGAATCCGATTATTTGTACGTTTCTGATGTTAATGCAAATAAAATAATTGTAAGAAGATATTTAATTTTTGTAATACAGAGTTTTACCGTTTTCTATGAAATTATTAACATTAAAAGCACTGTAAATAAATTGTGGTTTTCAAACAAAACGGTAATTTAATAATTTACAAAAAAAGACAAAACATCTAAATGGCCATTTTGAAAATTTCCGGCCGTATAAAGCGCTTGCTTGTGTAAAGTACCTACCGTGTGCTACCCGACCATTTTGTTGTGTCTGTCTGAAAGTCTTTGATAAAAATAAAATCTGAATATAGAAGTTTTTGGGACCATATTTTTAATAAAGTGCAGTTATTATCATAGCGATTAGGTAAGTGCTGATTAGCAGGTATTAGATTTGTTTTTATCATGATCATGAGCGGATGAATTTATTGATGCAAAGTAAAAAGTTAGTCACGTTTAGTTTTCTTTTAATTTTAATTATTTTAATAGGGCACATCTAAAGGGCCATTTTGAAAATTTCCGGCCGTATAAAGCGCTTGCTTGTGTAAAGTACCTACCGTGTGCTACCCGACCATTTTGTTGTGTCTGTCTGAAAGTCTTTGATAAAAATAAAATCTGAATATAGAAGTTTTTGGGACCATATTTTTAATAAAGTCAATAATAAAATTAATAACCTCGTTAGTTATTTTTAATTATGATGTCCGGAGTTTGATTCTACATTTGATAACTTGATTGATTAGATAACATGATTACTTTAATTTTATTGTTCCGCATTATTGAAGTATTTTTTTTCCTTTTTTTAAATGTTTTCCTAGTTTGTAATTGTAATTGTAATATACTAACTGTTGTCGTTACATTACAGAGCATGTTGTGACACTTTAAAATGTTGTGCATTTGTATATCTGCATAAGTTTTTAGATGTAAGTTTAAATGTAACAACTACTAGTTGTCCAAATAAAATAAATAAATAAATAACAACCGTCTCGCATTAAGTTCAAGCTTTTTAAGGGATCACAGTCTATTGCCTATGCCTGCCTAATACTGCAGTTATTATCATAGCGATTAGGTAAGTGGTGATTAGTAGGTATTAGATTTGTTTTTATGATTATTGCTCTTTTCAAACCTTTAATTGGCTTCAATTTGTTATGTCTGTTTCTTTCAGACCCAGCCTTTTTTTGTTTTTTGTTTGTGAGGGAAAAACCATCAAATAACTTCTTCAGCCCAGAGTGGGACGGGAGGGAGTGTCAGACTCTTCCTTTCTAAAAAACCCCTTTCTTTTTCCGGCTCATGGAGATATCTTCTTCATCTTCCAGCCAGACATCAGCCCTTTGTAGGTCACACCGGTGATCACGGGTTTAGTTCTGGTCTTGTCGCTCCATATCTGTGGAATGTATTAGCGATGCGCTTCCCTAAGGACAGGGCCGAAACCAAAAGATATTTTAAAGCGCCTGATAAATTATTTCGTGATCAGGGGCTGGTCCGTTCTTTGGACAGAGCTCAGGCATTGCCACAAAACATGACAATTTTGCTAACCTTCTGGGCATTTTCCCATAGAAACCGATGCGTATGAATTTATTGATGCAAAGTAAATAGTTGGTCTCGTTTAGTTTTTCTTTTATTTTGAATTATTTTAACAGGGTACTGACAATTTGGTCTTTGTGAAATGTTTCAGAGTATGACAGTATAAATGATTTCGGTACAAATCCAGTTACAGCTGAACATAATAAACGTAATAAGGAGAAACATTGCAAATATCCAGTTCTTGCCGCACTCATTATTGGAATTAGTTTTCTGGGTCTGTCAATCTAACTTTTCGAGTTCCGATTGACGGGTCCGGAAAAGGATTCGGAAAAGTAATTAGTTAGGTAATGTTCTAAGGCTTATTTTATTAGAAATAGTGAGGGTAATGAAATAATACAGAATTTTGATCTTTTAACAGAAATTGGCATTTACCCCTTCATTATCTTGCAGACGGATTATTTAATGGTAAACAATCAGTGTTAGCAACACTAGAGGGACATATGCGTTGCAATTTTGTGTTGCAATAAAATATTTAGTTTAACCAAAGTTTCATGACAAATCAATACATTTATAAATACGATTATACCTACAACTGAATCTATTTGGCAAACATGATTTCGGTTCATATACCCATAAATTAATTTTGAGAATCAATGACCATTTTCGATTGAGTTGGAGTTTTATTATTAAATTTATACGTAAAATCGATACCTGTAATATAGTAAGGATAAAACTGTTCCACTCACCTCTCTAGAATCACATCTTCCTCCACAAGCAGGCACCTTCACAGTGTCCCAGCATTTGCGACCATTTTCATCGGTTTGTTCAGCCCTGGCCAGGTAAACTCGCAGTTTGCATGGTGCAGTAGCAGAAGTCAGCGTCATCATATAAAAGATCAGGATTGGAAGAAAGCATTTTGATTTTATCATGTTATTCTGTTGAAAATTTGATACCATTATTATTTGAAAACTGCTCTTACTCAAATATTGTTTGTGAGGAGAACTGTATTTTATTTCGGAAGTGTACAAATAAAGTTTGTGTTCAATTTAAAATACAAATAAACTCATTATGTATGGCAGCAGCTACCTACTACATAACATCGGTGAAATTGGATGTTGGACGGATTTAGAGCAAAGCTAATGCTTTTAATGTTTACAGCTCAAAAGCAATTTAAAACTGAAACAACATCGCTTGCGAGCAGAACAAATAAATGGTCGTATTACTTAATTATCTCCACAGAAGTGCACTGCTACTTTATTCTGTTAATCATTGCATAAATTTTCAAGTAAGACTGTGTGAATACCCCGCAAGACTTCATTTTATTTAAAAGAGCAACACGCTTTACTGTTCATAAACTATTCAAAGCAATACTAAATGCTAGATAACATAATCTCTGTGAAATTGTAGCGAGCTTTCTTAAATAATCCTTGAGAACACTTCATCAAGTTAGTTAAACACTTTCAGAGTGAGTTAAGATAACCAAGAGAACATCCAGTTAAAAAGATTAGTTAATTTCACTTTAATTTAAAGTTAAGAGGACTCACCGGCTTAACAAGGAACGTAGTATTACTGTGAGAGGTTGGTAGGAACTGGTTGACTTTTAAACGGTTCTCTTTTGTACACGCACTTTTTCCCCATGGCTTCACATCATAGTCTCCCATTCCGGCTGTTTAACAATAAACGGTCAAGTCAGCCAGTAAAAAGCATATAAAATAACAATATAAAATACGTCAAGGGAATTTTAGTATTGTATGCAAATTGTGAATTTTACAGCGCGTAAAGTAGGGCGTCCCTTACCTATGCTCTGATGTAGGATGTACCTTAAAAGACTTTAAAGGGATTTCTTTGTGACAAAAGGACAAAGCTTTTATCGTTGGCTCTTTGTTTTTATTACATTTGAGTTATGAAATAATGACGCCTAAAAATAATAATTTGTATAGCATCATTTTAAAAGCTAGTTTCGTAACACCGATTTTCTTTGACACACGTATTCATTTAATTGCTCGTTTTGTATCGTACATTTATTTAACAAGTACATTGTTTTATAAAGACGGAAAATTTTAATTGTAGCCCATTAATTATTCGGGACAGTGGACTGTAGATTAACCAATTCTGTAATCGCGAATATGTTGGAAGCTTCATTAACAATTACAGACCTCAATCACCACATACATGGACTATTATATTCATTGCAAATGTTGTTCAGTTACGATAATGCAGTCTTTAAGGCCCATAGCTTAAGAGTGTTAATTCAATATTTTTTTGGCAAAGGGAGGCAGCAAATTATTTGGTGGTAAGCTATTAGCGTACGTAGTGTAAGGCGCCCTCCAGCTAGGTGGACTGACGACATCCGCAGGGTGGCTGGCAGTGGTTGGATGAGAAGAGCTGAACATTGAGCTTAGTGGCGTGCAATTGGGGAGGCCTATGTCCAGCAGTGGACGACAACAGGCTGATGATGATGATGATGATGAAGCGATTAGCGCCACCTACATATATGTGCACCGAAAAAACCAATGATGACTTAAGCGTAAGTTACAAATCTTTTAAACTGCTGCACTTTATCGTTTTTGCAGATTTGTAGGTTCTGTTTCCAGAAATAGAGGCTAGTCCAATTCTTTGTTAGTTTTTATACTTTATTCAGAAAATAATTAATGTAATTTGGCACTATATTTTGAACCTAACTGCTACAGTTGTTATCGCCATAACTATCGCTATAGACAGAGCCCACTTTAAGTGTTAGACTCTGACTGACTAAAATCTCTTCCGTTCCTTCTCCTGCTCTGGGCCGAGGCTGCGATGCCTTATTGTGCTTGCCACAACCCCGGATAAATATCAGTCCTAATAGGGCCCGTCTGTGGTGGTCTATTGGCTCTTCGAGGCGCGCGAGAAACGCAACGTGCGTAAGGAGGACGTATTGGGATATAGGTACTTATTTTCATAATTAATCTTAAAGGATGAAAATCTGTGGATCAATCAACCGATAAGTACTTAATTTTCAGGGTTTACTTGTAGACATTTCTTTAAATATTTTCTTTATAATGAGATCATTCAATGCCAACGTGGTTAATGTTAACTGACTTTAGCAGAGGATTTCTCTTAAACGATTTTTACACCTCAAAGAACTTTTAATAAATTAAATTATTTCGTTCCAATTACTTACATTAAGAGTTAAAAGGTTCCAAAGTCTATGGGAAAATAATATCACAAAGTGCTACTTTTCTACGAACTATATTTTAAGCCACTTAATAGTTTTCGTGCTGGCACCTATTAAAAAAAATGGGTGCTTATAAAAAATAACTGGGCCGGTGTCAAGATTTTGGTAATTGAAACGCAACTTGTTATTACTGCTTTAATATTTTATAAGTCGGAAATAGTCGGCAGCCATTTAATTTTGACAGTTAATGTTGAAACTTAATGTAATTTGTATAATTTGTAGGGAAATTGTTTTGGTAGTAAATGTGGAAAAAATAACGTTATAATGATTTAGGGTCGGGAATGTACAAGAGGGTAATGAGCTGAGGAGCTGTTTCTCTTTCATGAAAGATCATTTCAATATTTACTGTTACCTTTTTTTCATGGTCACAAGCAGACTGACTACGGAGGTGTAACTAGGTGTAACCATGCCAAAACATCAAGCAAATAACAAATAAGGTAAGTGCGCGTTAAATCCCATTAAATAGTACAGTATTAATATGCAACGCAAAAGTCTACAGTATAATAAGACCATGGTAATTTTTGAACCAAGCAAAAGAGCAGATAGGTTACCTGTTTTTTTTTACTTGCAATAAACTAGTGCTTGACTGCGATCCCACCTGATGTTAAGCAGTGATGCAATCGTTGATGGTAAGGCGCACTAGTTTATTATGGTAAGTCATTGGCGCCACTCATGGACACCACCATCATCGACGAGTTACGGTTTTATAGAATTGGGGAAGAGAAGAAAGGAATTGGGTCTACAATAACCTCCAATGGTGTTCTGAAGTTTATTTCAAACTAAAAGTTATCTTAAAACCACATAATACTGGGTTGTTAAGTTTCCACGAACATCAGTTTTAATTTTGTTTTCTAAAGTCACAAAAGATTTGGAAGTTGTTTTGTTGAGGTATTCCTCGTATCGCTCCCGTTTTGAAACGCTCCCATCTAAGCGCTCCCGTTTTATTCCTCTAAGCGCTCCCAAAAGGAGCGCTTCGAAGAACGATTAAAAATATTAAAATTTATTTCCTCGAAGCGCTCCCACGTTTAAAAATAGGGAAAAGCATGAAGTAAACGTAATGAATTATATCGATAATTTTTAAAAACTCATGTGTGCATCATCGAAATCGAAGTTGCTTAACCAAATTACGAAATTGAGAGAATAATATCTTTTTGCTTTCGGCACTCTTATGTGAATACAAGGACCAATATTATTGTGTATTCAAAGAAGATGTTATAAATAAAACGCATAGATAAACTTAATATAAATTATGAGATGATGCACACATAAGTTTTTAAAAATTATCGATATAATTCATTACGTTTACTTCATGCTTTTCCCTATTTTTAAACGTGGGAGCGCTTCGAGGAAATAAATTTTAATATTTTTAATCGTTCTTCGAAGCGCTCCTTTTGGGAGCGCTTAGAGGAATAAAACGGGAGCGCTTAGATGGGAGCGTTTCAAAACGGGAGCGCTACGAGGAATACCTCGTTTTGTTACTTTTTATCGAATTTTATAAAGGGTGGTTTTTAGTCAGGAATAGACCGACAGTCCATCTCGTCTTTCCCTCGAGAACACTTTATTTGATGATTTTCGCACATCACAAAAACTTCTTATTTTCATCACACTCCAGTTTCGAAATCCAAACTAATATAATAAAAATAAATGCGAAAGTAACTTAGTCTGTCTGTCTTTTCTTCACACCTAAACTACTGAACCGATTTCTGTCAAATTTGGTTCAGACATAGTTTGGAACTCAAGAAAGGACATAGCATAGTTTTTTATATCAAAAATCTGCAGGAAGTCACTATTCCACTCGAACGGAGTCGCGGGCGAAAGCTAGTATATACGTACATCTAAGTAAAGTAAGTGAAAACTTTAGACGTTATACATTAGTTCGTTCAGTTCCCCTGCAAACCTTTGACAAGTTTGATAAATGCTAGACAGTTGCGAAGTCCAGCAATTTAATGGGTGCATCAAGTATTTCATGCTTTGGAAATAACTGTCCAACCCTTTGAGGAATGCCTTTGAAGATAGGTCGACGGTTATAGCGTCGTGGTGCTTGGAAACCCGGTGCTGCATATTATAATAAAGTTTTTGTTTTAATAAATAACTCTCAATATATGTACAATAAACAACATATATTGTAGTTTATTATTTAGTTCTCTTCGTCGAATTTTTATCAGGCTTGATTTTCATTTAAAGTAAATAATACATAGGAACAAGGGAAATTAAAGAATCATTTTGGAAATTAATAATTATAATCCATTACAAAATAAGAAAACCTCCTTTCTTCTTTACTAAAACTTTGCAAAATTCTTTGTGGCCTCATTTTCAAGGTTTCTAGTCAGTACATAAGCGCTGTAAACAAAAAAGAAAAATTGAAGGTGAATATTCAATTTTTTTTTTGTGTTTGCAACATCGAACATCCATCATTTAGGACACCCCAAACCGTCAAACTCGAAACACGATATTGGAAAAGCTATTTACTAAGTTTTCACATATGGAAAAATTAAAGAATTTGCGAATTTTTGATGGAGGTATTATTTTTTATGAAGTGACAACTTGAAATGTTTGAAGAACACAAAATGCCAAGTGGTATTTCTGGACATATTTTTATACTTACATATACAAACATCTTAAGTCCCAATTACTTTTTAAGACGCAATCTTCATCAGCCTGATATCGTCTAATGCTGGACATAGGCCTCCCCAATTATTATTGCACGCCACTGTGCTCGATGTTCAGCTCTTCTCATCCACCCACTGCCAGCCACCCTTGTTGCGGATGTCGTCAGTCCACCTAGCTGGAAGGCGCCCTACACTACGTTTTAAGACATACTAATACTAAAATAATTATGCATTTAGATATCAACTGAAGAGCGTACGGTGGCTAGCGTTCCGCGCGTCAACGAGCTATACGACAATTTTAAAAGAGTCTAGGTTCAACTGGACTTGCGGGGCAAGCGCAATAATGTACCGCGGCTTTGGTCAGGAATAGAACAAGGAACGGGGTGGGTTTAGTCAGTGTTGTATCATCTCTAATTAGTTATACTAATCATACTAATACTATATACTATACTAATCACACTAGAACTGTCAATTTCAGTGTCATCCTTTTACTATAAATAAGGTGGCCGAGAAAGTGTCGGCCATTGACAATGTAACTCTGGTGCAGTGAGCTGCCTGACTGTTTACTGTGATATTAAAGTAAATTATCCAAGAATTAAGTCTTTTATTCATTATAACAGTCAGTAAGAGGCACTCGCCTTACCCCGGGTGAGAGAATACAAGTGACGGTTACCCAACCTAAAAAAAAACAAGGTGGACAAGTTGGACGTTTCACAATTTAAGCTACAACAGTTGTAGCTTAAATTGTGAAACTTACTGTTAATTTTGAAATCGATACTTAAACAATTGAACTGTGGAGTAGATTGAATCATCAATAAGATACATTGCTATTTTACAA